GAAAACAATGGGCGTATAATGAAGCTCAAGATCTGCTAGAAGTTAAATCTCTCTTCATCTTGAGCCTCAAGACCTACTGGGGGTTGAATATTTTCACCATTTTGATGTTAATTGCTGTAGCATTCCTTGAATGGCTGTGCCCTGCACCCTTCCCATCTCAAAACGACTCTGCGAGACACTAATGGTGGATGTAACCAACATTTGTCCAAACCCACAGTATGTACAACCCTAGGATTGAACCCTGAGGCAAATTACAGGCTTTAGCTGTAATAAATGTCCCACACTAAGAAATTAATAAACAGAGAAATTGGGGAGGGGTCAGGGGTTAGTGTTAGGGTGAGGGTTAGGCTTAGTGCTACGGCTACAATGAGGGCTAGAGTGAGGGCTAGGTTGGCGGCTAAGGTGAGGGCAAGGGTTAGGGCTAGGTTTAGGACTAGGGTTAGGGTAAGGGCTAGGGCTAGGTTTAGGGCTAGAGTGAGGTCTAAGTTGAGGGTTAGATTGAGTACTAGTGTGAGGACTAGTGTGAGGCCTAGCAGGAAGGCTATGGTTAGGTTAGGGTTAGGTTTAAGCTTAGGGTTAGGGTTAAAAATAGCATTAGGGTTAGGGCTTGGGTGAGGGCTAGGTTGAGAGCTAGGGTTAGGGCTAGGTTTAGGGTTAGGACTACAGTGATGGCTAGGGGGAGGTCTAGGCTTAGATTTAGGGTTAGGGTTTTCATTAATGTTAGGTTTAGGTATAGGTTGAGGGCAAGAGTTAGACTGAGGTTTAGGGCTGTGGTTAGTGCTGGCATTAGGGCTTTGGTTAGGAATAGGGTTAGGGCTAGGGTGGGAGTTAGGGTAGAGTCAGGGTTAGGACAAGGGTGAATGTGATGGTCATGGTCAGGGTGAGGACAAGGGTGAGGGTGAGGATTAAGGTCAGGGTTAAGGGTGAGAGTCAGTGTGAGGGTAAGGGTCAGGGTAAAGGATCATGGTCAGGGTTAAGGGTCATGTTCAGGGTTCGGATTAGAGGGTTAGGTTTAGAGGGTTCAGAGTTCGGGATTGGTCTCAGGGTAGGGCTTGGGCTAGGGTTCGGATTCTGGTTTGGGTTCAGGTTTGATAGGGTTTGACATTTTGGTTCAATAGGGTTCGAGTTTCTGGTTTGATAGGGTTCAAGGTTTGGGTTCGGTTTAGGGTTCAGGGTTTGTGTCAGGGGCTGAGTCAGGGTTATGGTTAGAGGGTTAGGGTTAGAGGGTTAGGGTGTTAGGGTTAAGTGTTAGGGGTTTAGGGGTAGGGTCAGGGTCGGGGCTTGGGTCAGGGCTAGGGGTTAGGGCTGGTATGATCCAGGTGTTAGGCAGCTGAGAGCAGAGCTGGCTGCTGGGTGCAGGTTGGATAGTGTCTCCTCTCCCTTAGCTCAGTGTCATCTCACAGGCTCCACAGGAACCCTGCACGATCACCAGGAAATCACACATTGGCTGGATCATGCAGGCAGAGGACAGCCCCCAGATAGGCGGGGAGGCGAGGCTACAGCACCCTGGCTGGATGGGCCCTGGTTGGCTGGGACCACAGCAGGCTGGGCAGGTGTCTGAACCTCTGAGCCACACACCCCTCAGTTGGAATCACCCTGTGGGTCTGGAGGGACCTAATGAGATGAAAATGAGGTCCAGCAGAACTCACCAGCAGAGAGGCTGGGAGCAGAGGGCGGGGAAACTCAGAGCAGGAGGCACAGCCACTGTGAGCAGGAGCTTAGGCCTCCCTTCTGGAGGCCTCGCTCCCACTGTGCTGTGACTTGGGGTCTTGCCTGTCACGCCCACCCACTAGATGCAGACGGTCCTCACAGGGCACCACTCCAGGAGCACGTGGGCCTCCCATCACTGATGGAGCTGGACTTACTGGTTTGCTTCTGAATGTCTTACCAGCACCCCAGAGAGGCGAGTCTGATGGTGCGCTGGGATCCACAAACTTAGATTAGATCCTCTAAAGAGAAGAAATGAAAGTAGAATCTCAGCCTTTGAAGGAAACCAACACTTCAAAAACAAAAATAAATGAATGGGACTACATCAGACTAAAAAGTTCTGCACAGCAAAGAAAATAATCAACAAAATGAAAAGACAACCTACAGAATGGGAAAAGACATTTGCAAGTCATATGTCTGATAAGGGGTTAATACCTAAAATAAAAAGAATGCATACAACTCAACAACAAAAAAGCAAACAACCCAATTAAAAAACATGCAGAGGATCTGAATAGACATTTTCCCAAAGAAGACATACATGTGGCCAACAGGCACAGGAAAAGACATTTAACATCAGTAATTATTAAGGAATGCAAGTCAAAACCACAATGAGATATCACCTCACACCTGTCAGAATGGTTCTTATCAAAGAGACAAGAAATAACAAGCATTGGTAAGAATGTGGAGAAAAGGGAACCCTCGTACACTATTGGTGGGAATGTAAATTGGTGCAGCTGCTACGGAAAACAGTATGGAGATTCCGCAAAACTTTAAGAATAAAACTATCATACCATCCAGTAATTCCACTCCTCAGTATTTATCCAAAGAAAACAATAACACTAACTAGAAAAGATATATGTACCCATATGTTCACTGCAGCATTGTGTACAACAGCCAAGATATGGAAGCAACCTGAGTGCCCATGAATAGACGAACTGATAAAGATGTGTTGTATGTATACATACACACAATGGAATACCATTCACCCATAAAAAAGAATGAAATCTTTCCATTTGTGACAACATGAATGGACCATGAGGACATTATGCTAAGTGAAATAAGTCAGACTGAGAAAGACAAATACTGAGTGATTTCACTCACATGTGGAATACAAACAAAATAATGAACAAACCAAACCAAATGAAAACAAACAGGTAGATACAGAGCAGTGGTTATCAGAGGGGAAGGGGGTGGGAAAAAGGAGATATGGGTGAAGGGGGCTAAATGTTGATGAAGGAAAATATACTTCTGGTGGTGTGCTCGCTGTAGTGTATACCAAAGTACAACTATAGTGTCGTACACATGAAGACATAAGGTGTTATAAA